CCCCAGCTCGGCAATCGTCGTGGCGTGGCTGAGGCGCTGGTGCTTGCGCAGCGAGTTGCTCGGAGGCAGGTAGCTGAACAGGTACGCCGCCGTGACGCCAATCGCCACCGTCACAAAGCGCTTCCACGCCACCGTCCACCCGAACCCGGGACTGCCCGGCGACGGGTTGGTCACGTCCTGCCACGAATACCCCACAATGAGCATCGCCGTGACGCACGTGATGATGGTCGTGATCGGCGGACCGGGATAGTAGAGCCGGAAGAGCATCAGCAGCGGGAACGCCACCGCCGTCGTGGCGCCCAGCCCAAACGCGTTCCCGCGCCCCGAGCCCGCCGACACGTACCAGATCACCAGGCCGAAGCACGCCCCCACAAACGTCGCCACCAGCCGCGACAGGAGCGCAAACGCCGTCTCGCCGCGGAAGCGCGCCAGCGTCAGCTGGGCCATAAAGATGGTCCACAGCCCCCGGTTGCGGTACACCCACGCCGCCGACGACCGCATGTAGGCCGGCAGCGACACGAGCGCGATGAGCACCGCCGCCTTGACGCCAAAGAGCAGGTGGCCCTGGAACAGCCGCGCCACGCCAAAGTAGAGGCGCTGCCCGAGGATCTGCAGCGTGCCCTCGGGATCGAGAGCGTCCGGGTCGCGCCGCCGCGTGTGGCCCAGGTCAAACGCCGAGCCGGTGGCCGCCTGCTCGGCACCTGTATGCGTGCCGGTCGCCGCCGCCAACGACGATGCCGATCTTGCCGGCCTTGAGTCGCCCCCCGCGCCGCCTGCCGCTGCGCGCCGCTCCTGCTCCCGTTCCCGCTCCATGATGGGCACGGCCTCGGGGTCCTCCTCCTCCATCTCCGGGTCGCCGCTGGCCGAGCCAATGTCGCGCCACGAGTCGAGGTGAAACAGGCGGAACCAGCTGGGCCCCCACAGCCGCGCCGAGGGCCGCTCGCGGTCGATGCGCTCAAACGCCCGCAGCAGCGCCAGCAGCTTGGTGGAGAAAGACATGGTGTGGAACTGGTGCAGCCAGGCCTGGTAGAGGTAGCGGTGGTGGATGCGGCTGATCTCGCCGGGCCCGGCGCGCAGGTCGAGCTCGTCGAGCACGTCGTCGGCGCCGACGTCGCCGAGCGCCTCGCGGTAGGGGTCCAGCACGCGGAAGCGCGCGTCGCTGCGGAAGGACTCGAGCGCCGCCTCGAGGCGCTGCACCGTGGCCGCCGTCTCCTGGGCGCGCTTCTCGCCCTCGAGCATCAGCGAGGTGCGGCTGCGCGTGAAGCGGTCGCGCAGCATGGCGAAGCGGCGCCGGTTGAGCGCCTCGAGCCGGTCGACCAGGTAGCCGATGCCCTCGGCGTTGGCCTGCAGCAGCTCGCGCGACGACTCGAGGATGAGGTGCGCAAACAGCTCCGTCGTTGGGTTGGCCGCCGTCGTGTGGAGGTGCGTCTCGATGTTGCCAAAGCGGATGCTCTCCCACACGGCCACGGGCACCGCCTCCTGCCGGTGGACGAGGCCGTGGAAGATGCTGCCGTGGCCGTGGTGGCCGTTGTGGTGGCCGTTGTGGCTGCCGTGGCTTCCGTGGTGATGGTGGTGGTGGCTGTCGCTGCTCTGGAACCAGCGCCTGGGCGACGACGAGCGCGAACTGACGTGCAGGCCGCTGTGCATGCGGCGAAAGCGGCGCGACAGGCCCTCTTCGCCCGGCGCGACCGACGGACGCTCGTCGAGGTGGCGCATGGCCGCGGCGACGGCCGACGCGGAAGCGCCGTGGTGGTCCGGCCCTGCACCGCTGCCACCACCCCCGCCGCCAGCATCGGCGGTGAGCGAGGCCCTGCTGCTGCGCATGCGCGGCGTGTCCTGCGACCCCCTCGGCGTGGCGGCCGGCGTCATGGCCGGCGTGGCGAGGCGCGAAGGCAGCGGCGTCTTTGGAAAGTGGGCCGTCTCGATGTCGGCGCGGATCGAGGAAAAGTAAAAGGACCAGCCGTCGGCGGGCGTGATGAGGGCGCGGGTGAGGGTCTCGAACGCCTTGAGGTCCTCTCCGCTGGCGCGGCCGAAGCTGATTTCGCGGGTGAGGAGGCGGCTGCTCATCGAGAGGGGCATGAGACCGCCCTCGGCCTGGTTGAGCAGCGTGCGGACCAGCTCAAAGTCGAACTCGGAGTCGAGCGGGCTGCGCTCAAAGAGGTCGACCTGGTCGGCGGCGGCGCGCTGGAGCGGGCGGAGGACGGCGACGAGGCGGTCGACAAACTGCGAGTTGACGCTCTTGGGAAAGCAGACCGAGTAGACGACGATGGTGACGGCCCACTTTACGGCGAGGGGCACGGCGATGGAGCGGCCAAAGGTGTAGACGGGGTAGGGGTAGAGGGGCGCGTAGGTGAGGCTGATGTTGAGCAGGATGCACGAAAAGATGGTGCCAAAGAGGAAGGGGCTGGGTCCGAAGCGGACCTTGACGTAGAGGAAAAAGGCGGAGCCAAAGGCGAGAAAGACGGCGCAGACGACCGACGGGCTGGCCTCGACGTACTCTGCCTGGTAGATGGCGGCCGGGTTGGCCTGTGCGGGCGAGAGCTTGTTGGTGCGGACGGCGTGGGCGATGGCGATGGGGATGAGGGTGTAGGCCCAGGCGCCGCAGACCATGGCGAGCGACACGAGCTCACGCTCCATGACGGCGACGTAGGGCAGCTCTGCGGTCTGGATAAAGGCGCTGATGAGGACGAGGAAGGATGCGGTGCCGAGGGCGACCTCGGAGTCGTAGATGAGCATGAGGACCATGCAGATCCAGGCGATGATGGAGCTGCGGATGACGGGTTTGAGCTTGGGCCAGGTGAGCGTCGAGGGGATCCACGCCAGCTGGGGCGGCGGGCGGTCGAGATGGAGCGCGGCGAGGATGCGCCGGATGCGCGGAGGGCTGCGAGGCTGTGCAGCGGTGCTACCTTCCTCTGCTGCCGCGTCGGGTGGGGGAGGCCTTTGGCGCCGTGACTCGCCGGTCTTTTCGTTGGAGTTGGACGACGAGTCGGACGAGGTGGCGGCGGTGGCGGGCGAGGTGCGGACATCGACGCCGTGCTGCTGCGGCTGCTGCCGGTGGTGGTGGTGGTGGTGCTGCTGCTGCTCCTCCTGCTGCAAAGTGAGGTCAAAGGCGGGATGGCCGCGATGCCTGCGTACCGAGTCTGGGTGGACCATACTGCTCGCCTTTTCGCTGTCGTGGTGGTGGTGTTGCGGCTGGGAGTGGTGCTGGTGGTGGTGCTGGCTGTGTTCCTGGGGCGATGTGGCGGTGCCAGCATGCTCAGCTTGGGCGTCGGTTGCGCTAGGCTGCCACGAGTCCTTCTGGAGGTGAGTGCGGTAGGCGTCGCCGGAGGGTGCGTCGCTCTGTGCGCCAGAGTTTGCAGCGGTGCTGCTGCTGCTACCATGGTGGCTGCGAGTATTCGAAAGAGGGTCTGTAGTTTCGGTAGGCGCCAGCTGATGTTGCGGCTGAGCAGGCGAGGACGCCAGCAGCGGGAGCGGCAGCTCCGACGACGGCGTGGAAGCGGGCATGGCGTGTGGTGGTGAGCGTGTATGTGGTTGGTGGTGTGTATCAGGACATGGCGAGCAGACAGGCGGAGCAGTAGAAGCGGTGGGCAGAGGCGGTGGTGGTGGTGGTGGTAGTGGTGGTGGTAGTGGTGGAGCGGGTGGAGCGGATAGAGCGGGGTCGCGTCCAGACGAGCTCTGTTTTCCTCGGCAATCGGTCATGGCCAGCGTCGGCCTGCATGCATCATCTTCTGCTTGGCCTTGCCGGCCTGCCTGACGCCCTGCCGACCAGCCGAGCCAGCCGACCAGCCGTCGAGCCGAGCCAGGCCGAATTCCCGATTCCCGGATGAGGCGAGGGCTGGGTGGAGGCGTGCGGCGCGGTGCGGCGCGGTGCGGTAAGCTGTGCAGGCGGGCACCTGCTTCCAGCTGCACCCTGGCCACTCGTTCGCATCGAACCAGGCAGGCGGGGCGGGCCACAACGCACCCTCGCAGCGCAGCGTGGACGCTCCATAGAGAGTAGTCGCGGCTCGCGGCTCGTTTCCGACCGACGCTCGCTCGCTCCCATCTTTCCCCCTCGTGCCTTCTGACCACCATCACCGCCATCCAGCCGCCGCCATCCTACCCGATCCGCCCCAACGGCCACGTCGCCATGTCCTCTTTGCTCTCCTCGCTCCTCTCCCCGCTGGCCACGACGGCGTCGACGGCGGCCTACGATGCCCTCGACCGCGGCCTCATCCCAGACGCCGTGCTGCGCCGCGTCATCCGCCGCCTCAACGCCGAGCGCATCTCGTCGCTCGTCCTGCCCACCCCCGACTACGGCGCCCACATCGCCACCAAGCTCGACTACGTCGCCTCGCTCAAGCAGCGCCAGATTGCCATCGAGACGGACAAGGCCAACAAGCAGCACTACGAGGTCGACACCGGATTCATGCTCTCCTGCCTCGGCAGGCGCGCAAAGTACTCGTGCTGCCTCTACCCGCGCGGCGACGAGTCCCTCGACCAGGCAGAAGACGCGATGCTCGACAGCTACTGCACCAAAGCCAACCTCCGCGACGGACAGGACGTGCTCGACCTCGGGTGCGGATGGGGCAGCCTCGCCCTCTACCTCGCCCAGCGATACCCCAACAGCCGCATCCGCGCACTCAGCAACTCAAAGACCCAAAAGGTCTACATCGACCAGACCGCCGCCATGCGCGGCCTGCGCAACCTCGAGGTCCTTACCGGCGACGTCAACACCTTTCAGTTTGAAGAGGGCTCCTTTGACCGCATCCTCTCGATTGAAATGTTTGAGCATGTGAGTCGATCCTGCCGTCGAGCCCGGTGGATCGCCATCGCCGTCGTCCTCGCTGACCCGACCCGCCCTGCTGTCCATCCCCTCTGGCCCCCCCTCGGCGCAGATGAAGAACTACGCCCACCTCTTCCACAAGGTCTCGCGCTGGCTCAAGCCCGACGCGGCCGCGCCCTCGCCAGAGGACCCGTCGCTGCTCTTTATCCACATCTTCTGCCACCGCACGACGCCCTACCACTTTGAAGAGTCGGACGGCTGGATGGCGCAAAACTTTTTCTCGGGCGGCACCATGCCGTCGCACGACCTCTTTCTCCACTTCCAGCAGCACGTCGTACTGCAGGACATGTGGTGGGTCAACGGCACCCACTACGCAAAGACGTGCGAGCACTGGCTCCAGAAGCAGGACGCACTCAACAAGGGCGCGAAGTCCGTCGAGCTGCTCCGACAGGATGCCCAGAAAAAGGGCATCGACCCGTCCGAGGGCGAAAAGACTTTTTACCGCTTCCGCGTCTTCTACCTCGCCTGCGCCGAGTTCTTTGCCACAAACGACGGCAACGAGTGGGGCGTCGGGCACTACCTCTTCCGCCGCAGGGATTGAGGTCGAACCGCGCAGCTAGCCCCGCTGGCAGGCACCCGTTGTCGTTGCTGTCGTCGTTGTCGTCGTCGTCGCGTCGCCAACCCCCCTTCCCGTCGGTGTTGCCGTGGCGCTGTAGCAGTAGAGTGATGATAGTCACGGGAATACCCGCCCTCGAAATCTAGAAAGGCAGGCAGGCAGGCAGGCGGGCGGGCAGGCAATAATCAAGGTACGGCCGCGTCGACGGCAGCCCGCTTGCTCGCCTCACTTGACCTCGCCCGGTCGATCGCGGCCCGCGAGTCGGTAGCGCTCAAACTCGGCCTCGCCAAAGCGGAGCAGCATCGTGATGCCATCCTGCACCACGGCGAGTACGATGGTCTTGCGTCCAGCCTTGAGGGTGGGGAACGGGTTCGACGGCGGTGTAAACTCCTTGCCACCAGCCCCGGCGCGGTCGCCGCCCTCTGTCGCTGCCCACGACGACGACGACGACGACGAGGGTCGGGCAGCGACGTAAGCGGGTGCGGGAAGGACACCGGGACACGCGCGGAACAGGCTGGACCAGGCGCGTCCGGCGCGCGCTAGCGGAGCCAGGCGCGCCGAGATGCCATCGACCGTCTCGACGCCCAGCCACCGCTCCAGCCGCCCCGCCCGCTGCAGCCGCCGCTGCACCTTGAAGTCGCTCCGCTGCTTCTTCTTGTCCTCGAGGAACTTGAGCCGCCCCGCGCTGCTCTTGCCGTACGCCCGCTTGTTGGCCTCCTCGGTGCGCCGCTTGAGCTCCAACTCGTACTCGATCCGTCGCCGCCTCTCCTCCTCTTCCTCGCCGTCGTCCTTGTCGTCCTTGTCGTTGCCATCGCCGTCGTTGTGGTTCTTGCCGCCGCCGCTGCTAGCCTCGAGCCCGAGCTCCTCGAGGCTGCCGGGCAGAGGCACGGCGCCAAACATGGTCTCAAACTCCCACGCCGACGGCACCGGCTGCCGCTTGGCATCGATGATGGCGATGCGGAACTCGGGCGGCGGCGGGTGCGTCTTGCGGTACGCCGTCGCCGGCCGCCAAGCATAGTAGAATGGCCGCAGGTCGACCTCATCGTCGGCGGCAGATCCAGCTCGTCGGGGCAAAGGGGTAGGTCGCGTCGGAAAGGGACGGTCGTGGCCGGACGGCACAATCTGCAGCGTCTCGTAGACGCCGTTGTACGAGTCCCACTTGGGCGAGCCCAACAGCCCCCGATGCCGCCCGCCGCCGCCGCCAGTGCCGAGTCCCAGCAGCGACGACGATGACGCTGCAGATGCTGACGATGCCGCCGACGACGACGACGACGACGAGCGCCTGCCAGAGACGACGCGGGATGCAATCGCGGCCATCCGCGCCGACACGCTGCGCATCCACTGCGCAACCCAGTGCGCCGCATCGCCCAGCAGCTGCCAGATGCGCCGCGGGACGTAGAGCAGCAGGTCGAGGTCGTTGACGAGCTTCAGCGGCCGCTTCGGGTCGGCCAGTATCCCCTTTTCCTCGATCCGAGTCGAGTCACTGGTGTTGGAGTCAGTCGCAGCCGCCGCTGCGGGGAAGGCGGCCGCCTTTTTGCGCCTGCGGTCGGCGCTCGACGGCGGTGGCTTCTCGGAGCGGATGCGGTCGACGTCGGCGGCGCGCTGCACGACGTA